ATCTCGCCGGCCCAACAAAGGGATTTTTTTTTTCTTTCTCGGAACCGGGGATTGAACTCAGGCCCTTGCGCTTGCCAGGGAAGTGCTTATCCCACTGAGCCAGCCATCTCCCCGGCTGAACTAAGGGATTTTTTAAAAAATAATTTTTCCTAAAATAAAGTCATAACTTTTCTGAGGATATAAAAATAAACACTTGCTAAAAATTCTATTTAATATAGCCATGAAACTGGTGAGCTAAATTCAAAGGCAATCCTAACGAGAAAGAATTGATAGATAAGCCGTATTCAAGTGAAGGCTCAGGGCTGGGGTTGTAGCTCAGCGGTAGAGCACTTGCCTGGCATGCACAAGGGCCTGGGTTTGACTCCCAGTAGAAAAAAGAAAAATCCCTCTGCAGCCACCTAAATCAGTTGGCATCTCGCTCAAGTGAAGGCACAGGAAGGGAACACTAGTTTCCTGTGCACTGGGGAGGGTGTCAGTTGAGCACTGACTACTGGACAGGATGGCATGGGCTTGACTTCACTTTTTTGTTTGGCTTCTTCCCCTATTGAAGGCCTCCTCTTTTTCCCTTTATTTCAGCCCACTTGTGGTACATGATGTCAGCATCCCTGTGGGGACCTGGTACGTGCACAGAACACAGCTCAACATCTTTCTCCGTCCTTCTCCTCCCTCCTCCCTCCCCCCTCCCCCGTCCCACCTCTTGATCTCCTTACTTTGTTGTTGTTGTGTTGTTTCTGAACTCAGGCCCTTGCACTTGCCAGGCAAGCACTTATTAAACTGAGCTGTCTCCCCTGCCCCTTCCTTACCGTTTTAAACAGATCTGTCTTCATACTCCCTCTCATCTGCCTTCTTTTGCTGTATATGCTTTGAGTTTCTCATGTAAGAGACACCACACGGTACTAAGCTTGTATGCCTTATGTATTTCACTTAACATTGTAGTCTTTTTTATTTGTTTAACATTATAGTCTTAAGGAGCATCATCCATTTTCCTACAAATGGCTCGCTTCTTTACGGCAGAGTAGTACTCCACTGTGTATAAATAGTACATTTTTTAATCCATTCATCTGTTGATGGACAGACAGGCCACTTCCAACGATTAGCTATTACGAACTGAGCTTCTGTAAGAGAACATGCATCTGCCATTGCAATATGGTGTCTTTAATTCTTCCCCAGTACTTTTTCTATTTTTTATTTTGAGACAGAGTCTCACTAAGGCACTAAATTGCCCAGACTGGGCTAGAAATTGCAATCATTCTGCCTCAGCTTCCCGGGTGAGGATCCACTAGGATTACGGGTGTGCACCACCATGCCCAGCTCAGAATGTGTGTTTCTTTACAAGCATTCTTTTGCTTTGCTATCAGTTACCTACAACCTAGAGAGCAGCTTGGAGACAGTGAGAAGCAGGTAACCTGGGAAGGTACACTGATGTGGGCAATGCACAGCTTTCCACCATGTGTACTGTGCTGTTCTTAACACAGGAAATTAGCACTGGAAAGGTTCTGTGACTGTGGTGGTGGTCACGTGGAACATATACATTTATTAAAACTCACTGCACTGCAATTAAAATGGGCATCTTGTCATATGGAAATTACATGTCAATGAAGTTGATTTAAAAGAGGAAAAAGTAGGGCCGGCCAAATAACTCAGCAGATTAAAGTGCCTGCAAGCAGGCGCAGGTACCTGGTGTTCGATCCTCATCCCTGGGCCCTACATGCCGGCTCCGCCCCTGGGGCACGCTGAGATGGCAATTGAGATTGGGCATGGTGGTGTGCGCCTGTAATCCCAGCACTTGGGAGGCTGTAAACAGGTGGATCACTATGAGTCTGATCTAGTAGTGAGACCCTGAACACCCTGTAGACTCTTCCCTAAAAAATACACATAAAATAAAATAAGATAGAAAAAGTGAGCTAGACAGGGGTGCACACCTGTAATCCCAGCATTTAGGAGGCTGAAGCAGGAAGATCATTGTGAGTTCAAGACCAGCCTGAGCTACAAAGTGAGCTCAAGGCCAGCATGAACTGCATAGTGAGACCCTGTCTCAAAAGGACAAAAAA